GCTGGTGATCCTAATTCGTTTCGTCTCGTTTTGGGGATTACCATCAACGATTCGCCCGATAAAAAAAACCCTGCAGCTTGTCAAAACTAATTCGCATGTTAAATATTTTCCAATTTTAGAGGACTGCAGTCACAGCTGAAAAGTCATCAACAGAAGTTCACAGCACCGACCCACTCTATTCACAAAACTCAGAAAAGAGTTACCAAGAAACGCCTAAAAATGTGAGAATTATTATCTTCGGAAAAAATTTTTCAAGAATAAGACAAATGATAGGATGAGAAATCCTGTCATGAACGGAGCCCTTCCTCGAAAATTGTCCCGGACCGGGAGGGAATCGAACTACTCCTCTTCATGTCCGGACGCGACGTGTTGCCACTACACCATCGATCCTTATGCCCCAGGTTCAGTCTGGCAGCACGTCTACTGTGCATTTGCCTTTTAAGGGAAAGTGGACCATTCCTTTCTTTTTTTCCTTGTGGCGGCTTCTTGGCCGGCTTTTCGTGGGTCTTCCGAGATGAATCTCGCCAGTGATAAGACAAAAACCGTTACCAGTGGCTTCCTAATCTCAGCCAAATTATTGTTTCTTCGTATATATTACAGGTTTTGCTCTTTAATTTTTTCAAATATATTTCGTATTAAGTGATATTTACTCCATCAGTTGCGTTTATAATTCTGTCCAAAATTTGCAAATAACTTTATATTTAATATTAAATTTTGAATAAAAGTATATAGATCAGTGAGATTCTGGAAAAAGCCAGGGTTTTTGGTTTGCTGAACGAGTGTGTGTGTGTGTGTGTGTGTGTGTGTGTGTGTAAAGCTACCTTACTGAACTTTTTTCCAGCCTTTTCAACAAGTACTGGATAATAAAAGAAAGGAGAAAAAGTGCAGTATTGATGAGAGCGCTAACCGAACCAAGTGATTATAAGGTCAGTAAACGGTCAGATAATTTTTGAATGAATCACGCAGGAACGACATTTGCAAAGGTGTCACCTTTAAGAAGAACTATACCAGTAGAAGTATTAATACCATTTTTCTGTGTTATTTTTTAATGCAACACCACAGCCCCAGTGAAAAGCATCTCATATTTCTCCGCTGTGGGAAACGCGGACAACAAAACGTGCCTTAAGAGCGGATACACAGTAAAAGTGCTGCCAATTTATGCTCCGAAAGTGGGTGGTGTAGTGGTTTAGCACGTTGCGTCCGGGCATGAAAATGCCAGGTTCGATTCCCCCCCTCGTCCGCGCCTATTTTGCAAGGAAGTTCTGTTCACAGCACGGCTGACATTTTGAAACTCTACGGTAAAAATTTAATGATTGGAAGTATGAGCTGTTATTAAAACTGTTGAACTTTTAATCCAGATTTGTTTGCAGATTTTTCCAATATTGAGATTTCAGTGTATTTTGAATTTTTGCTTCCTTAGTGCTACTTCTGTGGCATGCAACTTCATTCATTTTCAATATTGACTCGTGTAATCTTTCTCGTTTAAGAAAGTAATTCATCACTTTTTACTTGCTGTTGCCTGGGATCCTGTATCGTATTTCCTGAATTCTGTACCATTCGAAAGCGGTCAAACATCTCCAAGGGGTTACGAAAAGCTGCATAGCTCTCATCATTTTTTTTTTTTTTTTGACCAGAAACTTACCTAGTTTATTTGGTTTTGCCGGCAATAACTAAAGGTATTGTCAAAGTCAAAAGTTAAAACCTCCTCGTGTTCATTCTCAGTAATAGAGAGAGAGAGGGGCACTCGGAAATGGCTCGAAAATCGCATTTTCTCATAGAAGGGGCGTTGTACTACTGTTTTGGATTTTTTCTGGATAACTCTGAAGTTGGAAATACGAAATATAAGGATTCTTTGTATGCAAATGTACGGGATTACCTCACTTTTTGTGCATTTAATCCTTCCTGCTACCTTATTTTTGTACATTTTTTTGTACTGTTCGATAAACGTATGAAAAGTATACTTGCATGATGGAATATGCTTTTCAAAATTTTGTTCAAAGACGGAGAACTGAACGAAGTTTGCGGCAAATTTTTCCATTTTCCTGCATTATTACTTTGTATCTATGCAAACTGGGAACAGCAATATGTAAATTTTACTATGCAAATTGGAAACCAATGTGTAGGATCAATATGCCTTGCTTTTCACGCCGACAAGCGGAATTTCCTCAAATTTTTTTCGTTGAGCGAGGAGAAGAAAGATATAAATTGAAGGAGCTGTTCAGTGAGAAA